ATGCCTATCCTAATCCACACGTCACAAATTGATCCCATCTTGTTACTGTATTACGTAGGATTCACCACAATACACTCAAATACTAGATATAAATTAATTTCAGGAGTACCACTGCCCTGAACGCTCTAAAACCAAATCAGAAAAGTTCGTTTCCAACTTTTAAGGTGACTTCATGTGGTAACCAGATTTTGTTTTCTAGTGATGTCATGATTTATGTATAACACATTTTGTAAGAAGATATTTAGCTGTATTATATTCTAGCTTCACCCCAAATATACGCCAGTACGCGGCGCCATTACACGAGTGAGTTGTCAGAGGTTATGGCGCGGTATAATTTGGTTTATAACCCAACACCACGCTGTTCAGTTGACGCAATTAGTAAGAGAGTATCGTTTTTGTCATGGATAAAATATTGAAAAGGTTTTCTCGATAGTATTCTTTTATTGGTTGTAGGCATTTGATCGTCATCTCACTTGATGGGTAGTCCTATGTCTTTTCATATCAACGTCTTGGTTATACAGGAAGGGCACTAAAACCTGTGCAAGCAAGCCCGCACAGGGACCTCCTCAGTCCTGACTGAGGAGGTCCCTGTGCAAACGGTCTGATCTGGGGTCAGGACCTGTCCCCAGATCAGCCCGTTTGCATGGACTTCATCCGGTTTTCAAAAGGCTAGTGCCTTGTACGCACACTACCCTTTTTATTTTCCAGATAGGTACCGGAGCTATAAGCATGTTCACTTCCCGCTGCGCATTACGCAACTAACGGTTGCTACCGCTTAGCCGTTGACTTTAAAGTCCACTACAAAATCCCTCTTTCGTGGCGGAGTAAGCCACGCTCACTTCCCGACGCGCCGGGACGGCGTCTCTTCAATTCCCAATAACCTAAGCGGCTGGAGGGACCGGAGGATATCTAGCTCATCCACGCCTTAGGCCCTCGTCTAGACCGCTACCACACCCCGGACACTCCATACAACGGTCGAAAATTATTTACCTACTACTACTACATACAGCAAGGCGCTATCTGCACACGCGCGAAAGTGTGCGTGAAGTGGTAGGGTTACTCGTACTATTTATTACGTTACGTGGTCAGAGCGGCAACATAGTGAAAATTCTAACGCGAATCTGTTATCCATAATTCTATTATAGAATCCTAATAATTATACATGTTCATTACGTATTTATATCGATGTAATATTATATTTTTTATTAATTCACTAACTAGAATAATATTGAAGATTTATTTAAAAAATATATTATTTTGGTTAACCTTTAAATAAGGTTAACCAAAGTATTTGAAATTGCATGTCCAACTTTATCATTACCTAGTTAATAATTAGGTATATTTACTACGTAATATTTATCAGCAATACAAAATTGAAAATTCTAGAATCCTTGTCTACTTACGAAGTTATGGCGTCTTATCATATTGATATAATAAATCTGTTTTATATATTACTCTGCACTAAAGAAAACAATAACTGAATGAGTCTCAGACATTTTTTATTTACTTCGTTTCATCTTTCAAAAAACGACAGAAACTCATCTCTTTATCTCGTTTAGATGATTATAAACAGCCGTACACAGCACAATTCACGACCACTATAAATAGGAACGTAAAATGGATGTTATATATTAACGTACAAATTTCGTAATGAATATATGAAAACTATATTAAAATATCAAAGCCGTCTTAGCGCGAAAACGGCTCGCCGACAGCCTTGTACTCGTTCAGTCAATGTGACCGTCAATGTGCGGGGCGTGGTGCGGTATCTAAAGCTAGGGAGGGGCGGAGAGTGTCCGTTCTCATTACTTATTTGTTCTCTGCCGCTATTAAGAAGCGCTAGCTGTGCGCGGAATGAACGTCCCGACCACATGCTACCGAAGCAGACGGACGTGTTTATCCCTACAGCTAACCACAAACCGCAACGAGTCCATACCTAACCACAAACCCCAGCGAGTCCATACCTAACCACAAACTCCAGCGAGACCATACCTAACCACAAACCCCAGCGAGTCCATACAAAACCTAAATGAAAATCTACTGATAAGGTATAAAATTTCTTGGCTACTACGATTTTGTACTGACTGTTAAAACTGCTTAGTAATTTTAAACGTTTAAACGTAGTTTTTGACATAAAAAAGCGCTTTCGTTGAACGTTTTTTAGTTTGAACCTTACAAAATACGTTTAGTAAAACATTGAAGCGGCAAGAGTTTATGTTAAAAAAAGCTTGCAACATTGTATTGCCAGCGAAAAGTGATAGTACGCCACTTTAATCCTATTATAGGATAAATAAGTTTATTTGTAACACGAGTTCTGTTTATTCACATTGACGTATTAATTTGTTTAGGAAACATAGATGGCGCGACTTGAAACTTAGACACGTAAAAAATGAAATTGTTGAATTGAACTAATAATAATAATAATAACGTACAAACTGAGTAACGCTCACGCTTAAATTGATAAGCGTGCTTATGTGCTTATAGTAAAGCAAATTAATTTAAAAGCTTTTCTTTTAAACGCCCACCTCTACTTATAAGTCCTAAATTAGAAGGCAATACATAGCAATTCGTGCTGTGTCGGGTACACCTACAACATATGGTTGTTTATTTGAGTTTGCTCATGGGTTACACAATAAACGAGTATGTAAAGAAAGAAAGAAAGAAAGAAAAAGTTTTTTTTTCTTTCTGTGTCAGTATTAAAAAGTTTTCATTCTGGCCGTCCCAAAAACACAGAAGTTTCTGCCAGACAAATTCAAAGACGAATAAAAATGACAAACATTCACTAATGACGTTTAAATAGGCACGTCTCTCTGGCAGCAAACGCTTTTATGGAGAAATTCATTGAATATAACTAAATTTTTATTAAAGTAAGGCTTAAAATGTGTTGGTTAGGATGGGCTGCAGCATTTTCTCTGCTTTCCTACATGTTTTCTAGTGCCCAAATGCCTGCTAAGAAGTCTGGATAACAGTCTGATTATACCTGAAATTATGGAAGCTTTTCGTGAATAGCCTCCACGAAACCATATAATATACAATTCGTAGATATTAAATTCTTTCCTATTGATAAAGTCGTAACAAGCCATAATAATGAGCCGAATGTTCGTGGTAAGTGAATCAACAAATAAACACTTTCAATCAACGATATCCATGCAATTATTTGAAGTCTACTTACAATATTAGTTTTAGACTTTCGTGTCTAGTGTAGTAAAAGCTCGAGTCTGGGAAGACTCGACGCATAAACACAAAAATTCCACTGCTCGTTGTTATTACCTATCGAGTTTCCGAATAGACTCGAGTTCGACATTAGTGCTCGAGTCTATTATGTAACGAGTCGAAGTCGAGTCTGGTAAATATCTACTGAGCGGTGTTGTGGTGTGATGTATTAAACTGTAGTATAATTACTGTAATATAATTAAGTATTAATATTATCTTTTCTAAATCACCATATTGGTTTTTTATTTGATTCGTGGCAATAGTAGTTGTCCAGTAGGTAAAATTGAACCCTGCTTATCTCACTCGAGACTTTAACCACTGTTTCCACCCTACATCTTAAGTTCTTTCTGAGCGCGTGAGGCTTGTAGGCGCAGGCGGGTGTTTTTGGAAGTGTAATAGAAAGTTTACATATCTTTAAAGTTTTCGTGAACCGTTTCCTATCCAACGATATCTATGTACTAATTGCACCTATCATTATTTTAAACAACCGTTTTGAAGCAGCCCGTAATGATCACATAAAACATCTTTCGTTATATCCAATTTAAAGACCGCAGAAATAAATAATTTTATCTCCATGTCACACCACATTTATTAAAACATAAAGGGCAGCTTTGTCAGTAATGTTTCACGGAAATTGACCCTTCTTTTCAGTAGACAAATTATTTATTTATCATCATCATCAACCCAGTTATACGTTCTACTGTGGTCCTACTGCTAAGCACGGGTTCCTTCTCAGGCGAGGGTTTACGCCATAGTCCGCCACACTCGCTCAATGGTTGGGGACTTCTTCACACGTTTTCCGAGGGCCGTGAACCTTCTTCAACGTGCAAGTTTCATCATGATATTTGCCTTCGCCGCAAAGCTTATGTTAAAATTTCAAATTAAGTTTCCAAGAAACTCGGAGATGTGAGTCCAGATTGGAACCCACGGCCTCTGCTTGAGAGTCGTTAGGTCAAATAGACGGCTACCACGGCTTCATTTTCTATAGAATGTTCGTTATGTAAGTACCTACATGATATTTAATATATAGATGTTACTTTATATTTACAGAATTTGTTGCCAGGATCAGTCATGCACAAGAGTATCAAAATACAAACGGACTACGTGAACCGATATAAAGTTCTACCACTGAAAAAACCAAACATGAAAAGGGACAAAACTAAATTTTTCCACTACAATGGTGTGTATAGAGTCAAAAATTTTTTCCAAAACGTATACCAAAATGTAAAATACACGAAGGCGACGTGGAATACCGCAGAAAGGTTATCACCATCAAGATTGTTTAGGAAATAAATAGTTAATATTTTATGCATCCAAAATTGAGTAGTTTAATGCAAAAACGAAACGCGACTGTCTTTGCAGCAAACTGTCACTGTCAAACCCAAGTTTCAAAAGTGTGTTTGCTATTGATAAAAATAAACTCTAAAATAAGTTTGTTAAACCATTTTGTTTTATTTGCGCAAATAAATTGAAGAAAAAGTTTATAAGTTAGTTAGCACGTAAAAATACCTTGGTTAGTAGTTACGATCTATAAGGAACACAGTGAGATATGAAACATTTACCTCTAGGTTAAACATAAGCGCGGGAATCGTTAATTTTCTTGTCCCAAAGTCGGTTATTGCTCAATATAATGTCATCACCAATTCCGATATCGGATGATGACGATAGTTTCAGTCCAATGGACATTCCTGATGCCAAAGAACAGTCGATTAGTGATGATACCACAATGTTATTGTCGAGCGACGATGAGTTTGACAGTGAATTCCCGCCTGTCGATTTAAAAGCCAAAAAAAGCAATGTAATCAGGAGTTTATTTCCTACCACCGCTTCTCACCGGTCGAATTATAATGTTCCACCCAATGAACCATCGATGGAGAACAAAACACAAGTATACATATCACCAAATGTGACTACAATTTCTGAGCCCAAGAACTTAGGTATAGAGGCACGTATAGCAGGATTGAAAGTGAAATTACCGCTGAAACCTTATCCCAGTCAGATGGCTTTATTGTCCAAGGTAAAGATATTGTATTTTCAAATAAAAATATTTATTTAGAAACTGTAAGCTATAGTTTATTTTCCGCTTTGTTATTGTTTTTGTTTTGAAAGATATAATTTGTTAATTTTCTTTACTTTATCTATGGAGAATATGTGATAAAAGTTTTTGTAATTTCTAAGATTTCTATTATTAATCTTACCTCAATTGGTTACATAGAGACTGGATCCTTACCAGCAATAGGATTGAACAGCATAAGAAAAGGTATTTTAATTATATTTTATGTAGCTGACTGTATTCTGTTTTGAAAAACTGTGGATGTCAATCAAAATGCCTTAAAAATACATGGATCGTCTTCTCGAATCGTTTTTCTGTAGCTATAATGGCAAAGGTTGCTAGCCTTGCTGACATTTCTTTAATTTCCACTTTATATTAACTATATTAACCACTGCATCTACTAATAATTCTTCTGTAAATATCAAAAACATGAGAAAGTTTGAGAGAATAATCAAGTAATAGATTCAGATGTTACTTTGCGGAAGTTCATGTTAATGAAAATGGAAATAAATTAATTTGCTACTCCGTGAACCCAGTGAAGTTTAAATTGTTAGCTTTCTTTGTGTTGAGCAATCAAAGGCCCCTGAGGTTGCCTCGAGGACAGGTGACACACGTGTGGGGTATATGTTTGCTGGTGGTGTTTGTGACTGTAGTTGCGTTTGTGTTATTTATTTTATTAATTTTATGCAAAAGGAGGGTGGGAAAATTAACTGCATTACAAAATATTCAATATAAGCACAGATATTTCGCACAATTTAACCTTCACTGGGTTCACGGAGTAGCAAATTAATTTACTTCCATTTTTAGATAATCTTACCAAATGCTGCCCATTGATGACACTCCATACTGGGAAGGCCCATCTCTCAACCAGGGTGTACCAAAATTTTTGAAGCTAGGAGAATTCTACAGTTCTTCAGCACTGTTGGCCTTGGCCATGAATTGCAATTAGTGGTGATGACAAATCAATTAATGGTCACAGTGAATTCTTGAATGTAGACTCTGTTGTAATAGTAATAGTACTGATAGTAATTTAGCAGAGCTGCTATGTAATGGAAAATTCTGCAGTGATATTGGTAACTTGAGAGGTATTAAAATCTAATTCATAAAAATTTGTACATTTATTACATTCAAATACACTCCTGGACACATAAGTCGAGCCACCTTGCATTTTTATCTAAGGATAAGGATAAGGACTAGAATATATAAATATAATTATTATTGAATTAAACTTTTTCTCCAGTTTTTTAAATACAAAATTTTCAATAAGGACTTAAGGATGATGTTTAGTGTACCAGTTTCAAAGTTGCATAATAGTTGATCATTCTAGCATGGTTTAAGCTAAGGGCATTTAATATTGAAAGTGCAAGGTGGCTCGAATTATGTGTCCGGGAGTACATATTCCTGATTTAACTCAATTTAAAAATGAAGTTTTTGAGTCAAAATTCTTTTATTGTTCAATAAATTCACATTTTTATCAACGGAAATTTGTTATTATCATCTTATCTTAGTTACCTCCTGCGATATTAATGGATAAAGTCAGAGGCAAATTACTCATACCTGTTTAGCTAAATTGTCATTAATATGATAGTTTGTAGGAGCCATTACAATTCTAACTTATATTTAAGTACTTTATTTTACAACAATTTACGATTCAGTTATCACATTTGATCATTTATTTGTATCTATTTCTTAATATGACCTCCATTGGTGGTGTTATTTCTAATGCAGTGCCAGTGCTTCTTAAACCTGGCGTGGCACTTACCATCAGGGGCACAGCTTGTTCTGCCCATCACATTCTATTCTTAAAAAAAAAAATTTTTTATGACAAATATATTTAGTTTTAAGTTTTTATAACAAGTACTAAATGTTTATTTATAACTGCTGTTATAGCATTTGTACATAGATGTTATCCATTGTGTCCATCAACCATATACATATATACAAATGCAATCTAATTATTCGAAACTCTACAGATGATAACTGCAATGAAGGAGGCGAAGAACTGCCTGCTGGAGAGCCCCACTGGATCGGGAAAGACTCTTGCGTTACTGTGTGGAGCACTCGCTTGGCAGAATCATGAACGAAGTGAGTTATCTTTTCTTTTGTAACTTAAAACACACCAGATCAGAAAAAAAACAATGCTGTACAAAATGAGACTAGATCTTTTAAATTTGCATATACAAAATATCTAAACAATGAAGAATTAATTTCTTTTGCACATAATAAAATAGCAATGATGAAATAGAACACAATATTAAAAAATATAATTCGCTATAGACAGCCTTATTGATAATGATAAGTATCAATAAGAGATATAGTAATAACGTAAGTAGAGCTTTAGAAAAATATCTTTACAATCATCAAGCTTAAAACATAATACCTTAATTGCTATTTCAATGAACCAAATGAATCTGACTTACCATAAACTTCAATTGTTACTATATAGTAAAAACAGCACTTGGTGTACACCGAGTTTCATCAAGTTTAAAAAATAATACCTTAATTGCTATATGTATCTGATTTTTTAGCAATTTGTCAATAAATTATTGTGTAAGTTATGTGTGACATAATTAAGTAATACAATCTGAACTTTATATCGAAAGGTCCGAGGCAAAACCTGGTAAGTGTGAATTTTCGTAAAATAAATTAGTGTAATTTACATTCTCTCTTCTATTGTGAATTCCAAGACGATTTACTTTTAAACTTGTTATACAGACACCGGCACATGTAGCGGGGCACTAAAATAATGCAGTGTTATTTCAAAAATTTGTCGAGTAATTTTTTCATTCATGTGCTTTAATTTCCTTCTATGATTTTGAGTTCTTTTTAATATAATAAATTTTAGTTAAAATTTATATTTATTAATTAAATTCTTATTTAATCAATGTTACAATTTTTAATTCTTTAGCCGTTTCGGCTCTGTCACAAAATCTGAAAAAAAATTGTATTTTTATATGAAGCTTGAGTAAAGCTACACTATACGTCGATGTTAAAAGACATTATAGTCGTCACCAAATAAGAGGCCAAATTTGACACTTGTCATCGTGACGCGAATAGGGATGTGGACTAATCATATCGGTAATCACATTCTACGATTTTCACGAGAAATCGATTCAAAATTTTAAGAGCTTGTGATAGTTTAGATTATTTTTCGGCTCATTGTTGTTCTGGTGGCCTAAAAGGCCAAATCGGGCAATTCTGGTAAAAGCAATTTGTTTACAGAATTCAAATTCAGAATTTGTTCCGCTTAATGTGCCAGTTTGTGTATTACACCATTAAAAAGTGTAATACACAAACTGGCACACCATTAAATTCGTATACTATGACGTGCTCAAAGTTCATCTCGAAAATTGACACCCTTATTGAGTATTGCCTCGGACACCTCTAGGTTACGTCTAAAAGAGCTTATAAAATTTAATGCGGCGACTCTACACATGATACTGAATATCTTTTTAGGACGAATCTGTCCATAATACGCGAAAATTTTATTAACGTTTCTTACAAATAATCTGATCAACTGATTGTGTTTTGTTTGGGTATGGAGAAACATTTATCGTGGTTTCGTTAAGGAAAAATTGGATAGATACGGGTTTCCTCTAAGGAAACGGATTGCACATTTTTTGCGATGGTTGTGAGCCTTCATCAACGTGTAGGTTTTATCACAATGTTGGGGTGCACGAAAGGAGCCTACCTGCAGTGACATACGAATTGTATTCCTAATACGTCGAGCGGTCCGTGGGCAACAATCGTCGAGCACATTACGCCGATTGACCTTCAACACGACAGCAAACATATCTCATATGCAGCATGGCGGCTACTTGTGACGTGATCAGCATGGCTAATCTCTGGGGGTCTACTCCTGTTTACAATACAATTACCGTAAAATAAGTAATACTCGACAAAAAACTGCCTCCTTCACCGAACGGTTCCCATGCTAGACTGCCACGCAGAGATCCCGGGCCGGGAGAAATATTTATATGACCTACATTTATTTCTCTCGTGAGTTTGGGTATAATTTGTTGTTGCCCGTGACACCTGGGTTATACAGGATACAGGGTTTCCCCAGTGCGGAGCTATGAGCGTGTGCGTTATTTATTTATTTTATTATTTATATAAATGAAAAGACAATGGCAAGTATGACGCTTCATTCGCATCATGCGTCCTTTAATTTGGTCGAATATTCCATAATTGATAGTAATTATTGTAGCGGACTGTATCAATGGGTTCAGGTGGGTGCTAACAACGAGTGAGCAAAGCCAAAGCAAATAAATGTACTTTTTATTAATTTATTATAAACACGTACAGCTATCAAAGAAAAACAGAAAACAATAGTGAAAAAAGTAGTTTTAGTTTCATAATTGTCAATAAATTTTAGACATAAATTTTCCCATGCCTTTTTTTCCAGCCGATTAGAATAACTGGCGGAACTGTTATACCATATTGCAAGGTGTTGTTGCATTCTCTATAAATTCTCAATTTTCCTCCATCGTAGTTAATTTGAAAAATGAACATGTACACCTCACTAACCGTGATGCAACCGAGCTTGGCTGCAGCGCGAATGTCGCGCGGCCCGCAGCGTGGCTAACAGCGGTTAATTTGAACGCGCCCTAAAACACAAAGCCCACTAATCTGAGTGTACGTCATTGACGTGTTGGTTAAATGTCGCTACTGCCACTTCTGGGTCCGGAAATGTCAATCCTCTCATCAAATCTTTGATTTTCGGGAAAAGAAAGAAGTCACATGGTGCTAGGTCTGGGCTGTGAGCAGAATGGGTCACGAGCTCCACCTTTTCGATCCACAAAAATGCTTCTGTTTTATTCGCCGTGTGAGAAGAAGCATTATCGTGGTGCAAGAGAATGCGACTTCTCGGTCGCCTCTCGCGAGCTTTTTCGAGAACCTTCGACAGACAAACGGTGGTGTACCATTCAGCATTCACTGTTGTTTGATCTTCTAGGGCAACAGGGCAAACATGACCCGTTATAGAGAAAAAAAAACCCGCTATCATCTTTTTGCCTACGCTTCTGGCTTGTTGCAATTTTGTTGGCCTGTTGTCAACTTTCAAGACCCATTCACTGGACTGTTTTTTTCCGTATCGTAACAATAAACTCATATTCCGTCTCCTGTAACGATGTCATAAACAGCGTTTAAACGCTCGTGATCAAACTTTAGCAACTTTTGTTTGCACCAAATAACATGAGCTCGTTTCTGATCTGATGTGAGTTCGTGCAGTATCCAGCGACTACAAAGTTTCCTGACTTGCAAATGTTTATGCAATTTTTTTTCAATTTGGCTCATACCGATCCCTAATTGTCGAGGAATCTCGTCTTAGGTGATACGCCGATTTCTTCAATGAATCGCTTAACAGTAGCCACGTTTTCAGACGCAGCGTTTGCAGTTGACAGACGACCTTTTCGAATCTCATCATGGAGAGAAACACGACCACGATTAAATTCAGCGTACTATAAGCATGGAAACGTAGCTTGGGCTTGCGTAGCGAGAGATACTTCATAAATATAAACGACGATTATATCATAATTATAACTTTATACATACATACATACGTATTCAATTTCAAAACTTTGTCCAGAAGTCCTAGATGTCTGTTTGCCGTCAACACTCTATTGTTCTTACAATTCTAAGTACAAAACCTAAGCTGCCTGTACTACATCCCTCTTTCTCACAACTGAAGGGTTGAACATCCCTAGCTAGTGCCCTACCTGTGACAGGCAACATACATATGTGATCAGCCTTTACAATAGGCTAGCCACACACTGCTCGGAAGCTATTACACCACCAAAGAACAAAACACCGAGAAGGCTATGGTTTAATCTGTCGAAAACCTATCTAAAAGGACAGACCAGACAAACAATCTAAATATAATTATTAGCTATCCTAGCTATTTAGGTATCCTAGCTATAAAACTTTAATTCTTTATTCAAGCTTCCTATTTAACCTAAATCCTACCAGAATCTTTATATAATTCTAAACAAATAACAATCCTCATCGTGCACGCTGTTACGACGACATCACAGGATTGAGCACCCATCGGGCATCCACTGGAGAACATATTGACTTCCCAGCTGCCTTAGTCCTCATCCTGCAGCCATCTACGTTCCACCAGATTTTCTTACTTTCTTAAAACAATTCACAAAAAAACACACCAATTATCTTAACAACATTTCCTAACACAAATATGATATGGCGAAATATCATATGGAGGAGTCCTAATAATTAAACAAATATATTTTCCCTTGAATGCAGACAGTTGTTGTTCATCTGGATGAATGAGCCCAGACATAATAAACATAAGCCCAGATCAATATATCCATAAAATCATAAATAAAATATAGTGATATATCCATCCAAGTTAGTGAATGATCTATCTTCTCCTTCTGTCCTTTTATGTCTGCATTCGCCGGAAAAAAACTTCCATCAAAATAACCCTCAAGATACACTGTCAACATGGCTCCATATGAAAAACAAACACCAGCCACTAACAAACATTGAACAATAAGTATAAGTTATTCATATTTATTGTTAAATCAGGCTTTAGAAAATACAAAATCATGAAACTATCTACAGAAGAATCTCTTCATCCTATTTACATGCACCAGATCCTGCCTACCAGAGATTCTGTCTACCAAACTAGGAGTAGATCTAGTTAATCTAACTTCCGCATATCTTCATATCTTCTGGACAACAAAGCAACTCTATATCTTCTGGACAACAAAGCAACTCTATCTTTTTTTATCAAAATTCCGCTCCTGTTCTGACCGTGTACTTCCTATCTGCTCTTTGTGCGAACCAACCAAGGCTGCTCTTTTCCAAAAATTGTCCCGTAAATTTTCCGCAACACTTACACAACCACGTTTAAAATTACCATTTTCCGACTTATATAACTCAGGCGTAATTTTATTTTTATACGAACTACGCACTTTCGGCAAAACATATTTACAAAATTTTTCTAAGGAATTACCCTTTTGACGCCATTAACCCGTCTTGCCACTTACGTCAACTTTTTTCTTTACTTCCGATAACCGAGCAGAATGTATATATTCCGAGTTCTTTACCGCCAAGTTATCAGA